GAGAGAGAGAGAGAGAGCTTATAGGCAGACAATCAGGCCAGGTTGGGGAGCATGCGCCGTTGCAGCGCGTTGCCGCACCCACCACACAGCGAAACTCATCGAGCTCCCCCAGGCAGATGCACAGTGCAGTCCCACCCTCCGGAAATGGCCATTTAAACTAACAAGACACACCGAAATATTTATTTATTTTGAGTATTATGGCGTTCCTTAGAACTCATCCTCTCTCGTGCCCTTTCAACATCGCTCGGTGGAACTCATTCTCTTGCGTACAATAACATTTCAGTCTCTCTCGCGCACTTCCAATGTCTCTCGCGCGTACTTTCAACGTCTCTCACGTCCTTCTCGCGATTTTCGCGCAGCTTTTGTCAAGTTTGGCGCCTCATATGTGTCACCAGGACCCTTTTCGCGCGACTTAAGGACAAGTGGGCCGTGATTGGACCGCAAAGCCGGCAAATTTTCCCCACAAACGAGTACGAGCCAATCACAGCACGGCACGGGCATGACGATCATCAAAATTGTAGATGGGCAACTCGTGCCCTTCAAGTTGGAATTAGCTAAATAAAATGTAAAATATCGGTAACTATTACATGTGAAAATGTAGTGCAGTTTTTGTCTTCATTGTAAAATATTTTTCTTATGTATCAATATATAGCCATATATGGTCCATGCATATATTGCAGGATATTGGAAAATATAAGTACTAGTTTCCCATATATGGAGATGTATTATTCAGTATATTGTCATATATTTTTGTTTCATAAAGGCATTGTCATACGAAAAACATACTTTTAAGATTACAAATACAATAATTTAAAAAGTAAAAACGATTATTAAGACATTTGACTTTCACATTAATCCTTCAAAATCAGTGCATAATTAAGAAAATCTTTGTTTGGGCACATGTAACGTGAACTGAACTTTAGCAAATATAATACGGTAAACAAAGAGACCATGCAAACTTTAAACTGCAGGCGAGGTCGGAACACCCAGCACTGTTACCTAATGATGTTAATATCTGTGACTGAATCAGCACAATTATGAAGTAAATTAAAAGCGTTATAAACTGGCCAAGGGAAACATAAACGGCATGACATACGCGCTTTGAAATAATACAACAAAAACAAATTCCTGCTGCAGCCTGATCGTCCGAGAATTATAATTTGCCGTCATAATTTACTTCAAGTGCCGTATTAATCGAGATATTTATCCACTAGGTGGCGGTATGTTCTTATGTTCTTATAACGATGCTTTCTTCCTCCAACCACTTTCATGATAGTTGTTAAATTGAACGTCTCTAGTCAGTTAGTCAGAACAATTGTTGTTGTTGTAGTTATTGTATCAACGGAAAACATGTGCTGTATGATATTTCATAGATGTTATCATAGATGTTAAATTGTTTCATGGATTGTTGTCAAGACTTTTGAGCCACCAAACTGCACTATATGATTGTCAGTTTTTTTTAAAATTAAATTACAATTCCTACAGCCTTTTGAGTACCAAATAAAATGTTACATAATGGTCAGGCAACGATACATTTCTATAAAAACGAACAAAAAAAACAGCGATTTGGGTGAACTTTGTACATTTGTAACATAAGATTAAATTACAGTTTGTCTAAACATTTTCAGGATGTGTGCATAACATTCAAACTACTTTGCAGTAAAGATTTTGACCTCCAAGCAGAAAAAAGAAAACTTTACTTTTGATGTGTACAAACCTTTATACAGTTCATTCAAACCAGCTTCTAAATATAATGAATGTTTTATTAAAGAGCAAAGCTTCCAGATTCAGAAATAGTACAGGGGCAATCTACAGCAATGTTTCCCAATCCGGTCTTCGGGGATCCACAACCGGTCCATGTTTTCGCTCCCTCCCAAACTCCCTGCCAAACAGTCCACATATTTTCTCCTTGTGGGAGCAAAAATGTGGACTGTCTGTGGATCGGGAAGTGCAAACCAGTGAAATGGTGCTACAACTGTGTAAGGCAATCTGTGCCAGGATACTGGGGCAGGTTGAGTTCATACTTCTTCTGGATGTCGTAGGGCAGGAAGCGTCCAGCCAGGAAGTGTCTCCCAGTGAAGGCAGCAGCGCACTTCTTGGGTGCCGTGAGTGAAATAAGGACCTCTGGTCTGAGGCCGTCAGCATTGGCTTCCTCCACGTCCCACCCTGATGCATAAAGACAGCATCATTCTCAGCTCCCCTACAGCTTGCAAGCAGTATGCATCTGTGCACACGTCCATTTGTATATATACATTTTGTGTTCATATGGAGAACTTTCAACAGATAAGCTTGAAGACGGAGAAATGAGAACAGAACAAACACAGTGATTGATAGATAGTGAACCTCACTACCTGAGGGTATGTCAACACTGGCCATGGGGATCTTGACCTGCTTAAGGGTCAGCAAGATGCTGCCATAGGGCTCCTTCTCAGGGGAAAGATCTGTCTCTGGTCCCAAGATGGCATCAATGACCAGGTTGTAGGCATCATTGATGAGCTGCACCTGACCACCAAGAGAACACTTTCATTTTTACTTCATTCTAGCAGTTTTAGCAAATATGCCTTCAACTCCCAGGTCCTCTTATCCAGCCATTACATCACCTGATGCCTCTACAGCAATTAACTGTAGTGTCTGTCTACAGTCTTTTTCTCTTAATCAGGCTGATTAAGCAGTAGGTGTCACACTAATGGGGTGCGGCCCCCTGCCAACCATCCCTGTGGAAGCTCTGTAGGGGCAGGAGTGTCTCTGTCTCTCTCTCTCACCCAGTTTCCACCAACTTGGAGCCGGTGCCGGGCTTTTTCCCAATCCAGGACTGGTTCTGTGTGTTTCCATTGCAAAAAAACTAGCCCTGGTCCAGAAAAAATGGTACTACGGAAAAGCTGGTACCTGAATTTGGAACCATAACACCAGCGAAAGTAGGACTATCGCAACCAAACCTTCCGCAGACCTAGAAAATTCAATCCATAACCAATATAGTTTTGTCTAACATCACTGGTGCTGACAGCAAAAAAACAGTCATACTCCGAAAACTATACTTTACTCTCACTTTCGCCTATGTAACTTTTCCTTTCCATTTTTTTTTTTTGAAACTGGTGGAATCACAGGCTGGTTCTCAAAATGCACCAAGCGAAAACCAGCCGAGCACTGGTTCCGTGTTGGTGGAAACAGGTTATCTCTCTCTCTTCCTCTCTCACTCTCCCTCTTCTCTCTCACCTCTGTGGGAAGGTAGGATAGGAAGGGGATGTCCATCTTCTCACACTGCACAGTGAAGTCCTGATGCAGGGGGTGCGAGGAGCGCTTTGGGTAGAAGATCGTGGGTTCATACCCCTGGCCATCAATGGAAACATCCAAAGCTTCAGCACCATTGATATTCATTGTGATGTCATTAATTTGTATATCAGATGTCGACTTATGTTTTAACAATGCAGGCTCCTAAAAGGACTTGAACGTAACAGGTTTGGGTTCAAAGATCTTGGGTGTAATTTAATCAATGTAACACTGCAGGAGAACCAAATGTTCCTCACAAATATGTGCAGGTGACGAGCGCAGACCAGGCCGACGGCTCCGTTCTGTTCCGGCCCACAGACCACCAGGACCGTGGGCTGTTTCTTACTGAGAGAGCTCAACGGGAATGCCTGCAGAATGCGGAAGGAATGAACAAAAGAGAGACGGACCCTGAAATGAAGGTCAGATGTGACCAGGTCACCGTAGTGGCTTCTAATACTGTGATTCTACATGCAGCATGAAAAGCGTATTTACCGGTAATCCCATGTTAAACATTTAAATATTTATCGTTGTTTTTAAAAGGTATATTTCTCTGTTAGATTTTCTCTGTTAAAAATTTTACATGAGAAGAACAAAACCCTGTCCCATGACCAACTGAAGCTTAAATCGAGTTAATGATGAAGCTGAAGCTGAATGAAATTGATTGAATTTGCCACCAGAGAAGCAGCTTGACATATTAGTTAAGCTGAACTGGAACTGGTTGAGATGCAAATAAGGGAAAGTCTACAAACAAGGTCTCTGGAGTCTCTTCCCATTCCAGTGTCCCACCCCGACTGTCAAGCTGCTGTCAATGTGTGTCGCCATAGCAGGTATTTCCCCCCGTTTATGTCGGTTTCCGCCCTCAGTCCAAGAAACATCATTACGTCACGTGGTGTCTCTAGATTGGCCGGAATGGGTATCTGTTTGCCCTGCAATTGGCTGATATCACATCCCAGCTTGTCTGATGTCCTTTATGTTTTGGTAGAAGCTCTGGGCTGATTTTGACCCGGTTCCAGAAGATGGATGAATTACTCTCTTACTGGGGCCACAGGGCACTCGCATACTAAGGCTTGCAGACTGCAGTGTCGCTATGTGTTAGCAGGATACACATAGCTAATGATGTTGCTGGTGCAGGTAAACTGCGAGAGTGAGAGAGTGAGAGAGTGAGACGGAGCAGGCGTTACTCTGGCGATGGCGATGGCGCAGGCGTGACCCCAAGTCTCAACCAGCTGCTGCCGTCCAAAGCAGTAGTCAGTCAGCAGCTCCGTCTCGATGGCAGCCGCCTCCAGCTTGCTGCGCGGGAGAGACAAACGCCCCCCCCCCGCCCCCCCAGATTTTTATTTAATGCAGTGAGCTTTGATAAGGCAACGGTCACAATTGTCTTCATAGTTCACACTCCAGGGGACATCGAAATAGAAAATGTAAAAAAAAAAAGAAAAGGTTTCTCTGTTCTCTGGAAAGAAAGTGATAAAACACCTCTCCTGGAATATAGTTCCAGTAAAAGTACAAATATCCATCAGAAATACAACGGTAAAGCTTCGTGCAAAAGGGAATTTGTGGATGTCTGAATCCTGTCTGAGGGGTGAAATAGATGCGTGCAGTTTCCAAACCGGCAGAATAATACTCTGCTGAGAATAAAACACAGCAGTTTTATAAAAACAAATCCCAGAACAATGTTGGCTGGTGGTTAACAGGATGTTGAGTGAGACGACAGAAGTACGGACAATTATGGTAAACTGCCGGGCAGGACTTTCACTGGCAGCACTGCAGCAGTACTGAGGGATGTTAACTGGGCGTATAACCCCAACATCAGGACAACAGTGAGCTGCTGGTGTAAGTCCGATAGCCAATACAATTCATTTACTTAGAAGAAACTTTTATCCAAAGCAACATGTAATTGAGAAATAAGGGCCAGTCAGATCAGTATGTGGCCTGTGGGCCATTGTCCTGCAGGTTTATAGAGCTACCTTACACATAAAACAAAAGGTGCACTGCAGTGCCCTCGCACGTGGGAGTTTTTCTTACACAAATATGTTCTGAGGGCAGAACAAAAAAATGATTGGTTCAGAGTGATGACCAATCAGATTGCAGAGGAGGTGGGTCCCAGGAACTAAAGGAGCCAGGAGCAAAACATCTGATTGGTTGGACCCTCCTCTGCAATCTGATTGGGTATCTCTCTGATCCAATCATCTTTCGTCCTGCCCTCAGACCATTTTTGCATAAGTAAAACTCCCACGAGCAGGACCCTTTGGAGAAGTAGCCAACAACTACACAGTGAAGGAGACAAAGCACTCCCATGCTGTTCCATGATTGTTCCAGCTAGTCAGGAAGAAGCAGAAGGGATAAGTCATTCCTCCCACAATGCCTGCTAACAGCAGTGGCCGATTTTTGCTTGGTTGAATGATACGATAAGTGCTGTGATGCTCCTGCCAATGGGAGCAGGAACACACACAGCACTCTTCACAATAAATGAATAAATGCTGCCTGTATGCCTGGCTTATGGCTGAATGCTAAAACGCTGCTTCTACACCGAAAGGTCTCATCACAGCAATGACCTCATGCGGCTATTATTTACCGGACACATTCGTCCAAACCAACGTAGAGACAGGTGTGGTGAGGGGTAGGACATCCAGAGCTTACAGATGTCAAGGAACCAACTTATGCTGCTAGGGTAAGTTTCCAAAGTGTGACCGATACGTTAGAAACATTTTTTTAAACAAACTGGATGATTGCAGGTACTTTTAGGCTGCTAATGTTGACAGCCAAATCGTAATTGTCAGATGGTCCCTAAGAAAACAAGAAACAGACCATTCTGCGGGTCCCAGTCACTGCAGCTTCTAGTCATCGATTGAGTAGATGGATCCCCATGGCAACCATATTTTCCCTGTAAACCATCTCATTTCTCTACTGGGTGGAAGGACAGATGAAGGTGCTGTTAGCTTTCCTGGCATCTCTGTCCATTAAGCTGTTCCAGTCTTCCAATGCTGCAGTAATAACAGTAATTAAAAGCAAATGTGCACACATTTTGTAATCAATTTTTATTTTGAATATTATTCTTAAAAAAGATGTTATGGGTGGCAGTCTCTGATGCCCATTGGCTCACATTCCAGTTACCCATGATGCTCCTCTTGCCATTTGCTGAAAGCCATAATGATAATAATTTCAGAATCCAACCCCGGGTGAGAACAGCGGGCCAAGCATTAGAGAGGCCTTTTGTCCTGCGATCAGAGCAGACTTTGTTATCTACCAGGCTGTGCTTGTTTACAGCCCCTAAATGAATATTTTGATTCATAAGCAAATTATCGAAGACGCGCAAATTACAAGATCATAGATTGTGAGAAATGATTATGCTTCATATTTAATTACAGGATCTGTAGGCGGTATGAGCAGCTCTAAGGAGCTTAGGGTTTGCTCGAACTCGTGAGAGTATGTTAAACAATGCATCTCACCAACAGAAGTCATTGGCTATCCCCTGATGTAGGGCGCCACCATCAGGCTGTCTGGGAAATTAACAGCATTTGTTCATCCTGTTGGCTACCCAGCAGCTGAGGCAGGGTAGCGACATGGCATCGGTTAACCCCGTCAGTGCCTAAGGGGTTAACATGAGCTCTGGGTTTGGCTGTCCGATGATGGCTGCAGAGGGGCCAGTCATTACTGTTACTGAAAAAAGACAAGCAGGATGAGTGTTCTTTGCACGGGGGGGGGGGTTGGAGGAGGAGGGGATGGGTTATTGATGTAGGGGCTCGAGAGGCTGTAAAAAGAGTTTTTGTAGCTTGGGAATGGGTTAGAGATACCAGCTACAAATGATCCATCTGATAATTAACTCATTTATTTCAGCTTACAGACACGCTGCCAGCAATTTGGCCGTGAACCTCCATGGAAATGAACACAGATGGACGAAGATGCATCCATAATGGATACAAATACAACCTGATAATGTGTGAGTGTGGAAATGGCGTTTCTCTCTAGACCAAAGGACAGATGCGTAGCATTGCTTTCTTTGTGCAGGTAAAGGTTCTTCCGTAAAAGCCACAAGACAGTTAACGATAAATCGGATTTGTACCACGCCTTCCGTAATGTACGCACTTCACGTAGCCCTTTGTGATAATAGCACTGGAATAGCTGACAGAAAGGTCGTAGTTAGATGGGGGTGACTGTAACGTCTGCAGTATCTTTTGTTGTGTTTGAGGGTAGGCCCCTCTTTTGGCAGCCCTCAGGGCACCCTCTAGGCATCGCCCTTCAGGGTTTTTGTGGGCCAAGCCATCCGGCTCTCCATGCGGCGCAGCGGGGAGAATCCCTAAAGGTCACCCCTCATCACAGAGCAGCCTCTCCATGCCCCATGATGGGACATAAGAATGCAGCTTAATCAATATTACCTCAAATCCGTCCAGATGACCCAGCCCTGGAGGTCATCCATGCACCACCTGGAGGTGCAACATGTGACTGCAGTAGTTCCATCTCAATTGCGATATCAACCGCTTCAAGCCTGTTGATAGGATTATTGAGATTCACCTGAGTTTTTCTCCTCACATCTATCACGCAACAACTTTGAAAAGAAAATGCACTCACTGCTTTATGTACAGCGGCTCGTTAGGGACAACAGCCCGGTCATACAAAGAATTACGTGATGGTGACTCAGTACCTGAAGAATAGACTGGGTTGAGAGGTTTAGAATGTGCATTTAGAAAGCTTTAGAATGGACAGTACGTGTGATATAAGGGATTTTAAATGCGTTACAAATTTTGGTGCCAGAAGCGGTGATTCCAGCATCTCAAGAAAAGGTCGTCCTGGGAGTTTTGTGCACTACAGTGTCTAGGCTTAACAGACGATGTTGGGTTTTAAAAAAATCCAGTTAGCGGCAATTCTGCAGGCAAAAATATGTTCTAATGACAGAGGTAGGGAACAACTGGAATTAAAGTCAACAGAGAGGTTATAAGTGCAAACGTGTGACGAACCAAACTCCACGAAGAAAGTTTCCAACACATTATTGAATCCATGCCTTAATCAATTCAGGCCGTTCTGCAGAAAATAGGGGTCCTACCAGTACTAGGTAGGTGTACCTCTGTAAGTGAAAGTGTCTGTTATGTACTCGAATAGAACAGAAATTACAATACGAGTAACATTAATGCATTCTCCATCTCAGAGACCCCAGATGATCCAGGAAAGGAACTGATGTTCCTTAAGTCATAACAGTATGAGAAGCTTTATCTATATTATAATAAATGTAATAGTGAGGTGAAGTTTGCATGTTCTTCCCGTGTGTGAGTGTGCCCTGCGATCGGTTGGCCCTGTCCAGGGTTGTTACCTGCCTCATGCCCATTGCTTCCGGGATAGGCTCCGGACCCCCTGCGACCCAGTAGGATAAGCGGGTTGGATAATGGATGGAGGTGAATTTATATGATGACAGTATAGCCATCATGCTGCAGGAGGGTGCCCCCCCCCCCCAAAAAAAAGCCTAACCCCCATTCTAGACACATTACGCTACAGAATGCTAAGCAAAGCCTTATGCCAGGTACCGAAGCAGCCTCGCTGGGTGGTCTGGTCCTCTGCAGCTCCTTAACGTTCTGGGAGAGTCAGGCAGCCAGACATCCTGCTATCTGAGGAACGGTGCGATTCTGCTTCTATTTTTGACAAAGTAGCTATAAAGCGAGCGTCAATCTGCCTCCCACAGAGCATGTCGGAGGGGCTACGCTGCCGGGGTAAGTGGGGGCAGCTGCTACACCCCAGTGCTCAGCATGCAATCACCTCACCTCTGCAATCAGAAATACCCCCCCCCCCCAAGTTAGATACCAGCGTCATTCAAGTAGCTTAGCACAAATTTTGGGAAGTACTCCTTAAATGATTAAAATCATAACATTTTGATTGAGTCTATTGTGATCCGGCACAACCCGCTGATTAATTGCCTACCGGCACTGAGTGTTTGCATTGATTAAAGCAGTTTTCCCTCTTAATTATACAGCTATTCATTGTTCGGTTTCCTCTGTTCCTCATGCAGGATGAAAACCATAGACCTCATCTCGCTCAGTGCCAGTAACCGTACAGTCATGTTGTTTTGGTGGGTTGTAATGAATGGTGGTGGTGGTTCATTGGGGTAAGACTATGTGTCTGTGCTCAGATGGTCTCTAGTTCAAATCTCATGGTTCACCATGGGGCATGAACCGCTCTAGGCGCCATCTGATCCTGCTCCCTCAACCGTATGCTGCTTTGGGTGAGAGCATCTGCCAGATCGATGTAATAACAGCGTAATGGCTGGAAACCTGCCCCCGCTATGTGAAAAGCACGGAGGACCATTCTGCACCTATGCCGCGCTGAATCT